CCCCCCCGGGCCAGCTCCCGGGACACCCCCTCTTCGCCCCCCCTGCCCTTCCCCGCCCCACCCCCACCGCTGTAATGCTGGTCCAGCTTTAAAACCCCACCAAGTGAACGGGGACCGTCTGCAGGCCAAGGAGGGGTTCCCAACTTGCCCTTCCCCTCAAGGCGAAATGGGCGGGCGGCCACTTCTCCTTCAGTGTCTCTCCCCCCCCCCTTTTCACTGGGACGTCCCAACCTAAAGGTGTGTTTCCACCCTCCCGCCCAGCCCAGGGCCCAATCCCACCAAACGGTGTCTTGCTGTCGGTTACCAGCGCGCCTCGAGCCGTGGCCGCCCGGGCAAGGGCGGTGCAGGTCCCGGCGGGGTCCACCGTGCCGTCTTTGGGGACGAAGAGCGTGCCGTGCAGGTCATCCACGTTCATCAGCGGGTAGAGGTCCTTCGTTTCCGCAGGAGACAGGACGTGCGACTCGATGCCGTAGACTTTGCCCAGCTGCAAGAAGGGTCAAAGAAGAAAGCCTGGAGGGGGTGGTCAGCCAGGCTTCCAAGCCTATCCAGAGGAAGAGGGCAGGCGACCGACCCCTCGGGAGGAGAGGACCCCTGCCCAGCCCTCCGGTTCCAGCCTCATGAGGCTTTGAGGAAGAGGAAAGGCCATGGCTTGCCAGTTGCAAAGCGAGGCCCTGGACGTTCCCCCCCCCCCCATGAGCTGCCAGGGAAAGGGTCAGAGCCCAGAAGCCCTCCGAAGGGCCCAAGGAGCCCCAAGGCTAGGATCCTGTGTGTTGGGGGTGACTCTCCACCGAGTCCTCCATGGAACCGAGGCCAGGAGAGAGAGAGGCTTGACCCCCACCCCACCCCCACCCCCTGGGCCCATTTCTCACATACCGACATGAGCCTCTTGTACTCGTCCAGCCTCTGCTTGCTGGAGGCAATGAAGAGCCCTCCGTTCTGGATCCAGCCCGTGTGGAGCCCCGTCTCCTGCTCCAGCTCCTGGCTGACAACGTGGCGGGTGTGGGCCAGCAGCTCCCCCTCCACATCGCTCGGCCGCAGCTGCCACAGGAGCCCTGGAAAGGGGGGGGAGGTAGGGAGGGGGGAGGTCCAAAAACAGATTTCTGCACCAAGGTCACTCCTGCCCCCCCCCTTCCGGCACCCTAGCCCAGTGGCGCGATTCCTCTTGCCCGAGTCACTAGCGGCCCCCACCCCGACTTTGGTTGGCCTGTCTCTGCCGCCACGGGAGGCAAAACAACCAGGGTGAACCGGATCAGGCCCTTTGCTTGTGTGACTCCCCCTCAACCCCAAATTTTAAAGCCAAAAGCAATATTCAAACATATTACTCTCTCTTCCCATTTTACTGTTCACATTTTCAGCACAAAATTTAACAGCCAAATTGTCAATGAAAATGTTTAGCTCAGGTTTTTCACATTCGGAAGCTTGGGGGGCAGGCGGTTGTTGTCATTTTGATGGAGGGCTGAACAGGACCAGCCCCAGGGCATCAGAGCTGGATGTGGCCTCTTCCAAAGACACCCTACTCAGTGGGCAGGACACAGGCCTCCTCTCAGGCCCTTGGGGATATAGGGCGCGAAAGGGGGCCGTCAGGCACTCCTGAGCCCCTCGTCCACCTGGTTCGTCTCCCGGCCACCCAGTTTGGTGGGCATTCCCCCCCCGTGGCCCCAGCCGGGCCTCCCTTTACCTGCGGTGTGCCAGGTCGTCCCAGAGGTCAAGCGGTCCCTCTCGAGCAGGACGGCCGAGCCCACCCCCATCTTGGCCAGGTGGTAGAGGGTCTGGCAGCCCAGGCTCCCGCCACCGACCACCACAACCTCTGCAGAGGCCGGGAGCGACTTGGTGGCCCCCTGCCCCCCGGGGGGGCTCGGGCTCTTCAGCGTCTTCTCATAGGGGACCTTCTTCTCTGCAGTTGGACCCATCGCGCTGCTGAAGAACTGGAGCCGTCTCCCAGGGGATGGGGCCTGGAAGGGCGAGGCAAGTCGGAGGGCGCACCGCAGGTGGGCCATGGCGAGCTGGGGAGACGGCAGGGGTGGGCAATTAGCCCCGCTTCCCGAGGCCCCGTCCCCAGGAGGCCCGAGGGGGGGGCTTCCAAGTTTGCTGCTTTCAGAAGAGGAAGGAAGGGTTTGTGGATGTGCCCAAAGGTTGCCACCCGAGTCCAGCTTGAACAAACATTTCTTTCCAGGCTGTGATTCCCAAAAACCCATCACCGACTGGCCAGGCTGCTCAGGGGCTGATGGGAGACGTCACCCAAAAAGTACTGGTTCCGGGCAGTGTCTGAGCCCCACAGGACAGCAGCCGGACCCCCCCCTCCCTTCTCCAGCCTGGAAAGCCCAGGCCAGGGAATCTTTCTCTTTGCTTTGGCCGGTCCAGAGCTCTGAGGCCTCCTCATTTCCCAGCCCTTTGTACTCTTGGCCCTGAGTCAAATCAGGGACCTCAGGGAAGAGCTGGTGGTGGCGGGGGGGGGGCGCACCCAGGCCTCAGGTCTTGCAGCCGTGTCCCCCTCCCCTCCTGCAGCTGAGAGGTCTCAAGAGTCAGAGGTGAAAGAGACACTGGCAGC